CAGAAGAACAGTAGAGGAACAAGCTCTGAGCTGTGATCCCCACCCACTCCTGAGCCCATGGTGCACATAGGCAAAAAAGAGTCACAAATGGGAGGAGGCCCCCCAAGGCCACATGATGATTCTCTAGTTCCAGATAATAACCCATGGCTGCCCATGATGTCCCTTTTGCCAAGGGTGGCAGTGGAGTGGCAGTCCTAAGAATAAGCATAGAATACAGCCATGCAGTCCTTTCATGTTGAGAATGAAACCTAGAATTAGTTTGAGAAGGCCGCCAGAGAGCAGGCAGGCAATGCACTGCAGCGCACAGGCAGCTCTAAGTAAATATGGTGTCAAGGTGTCCAGAGAAATGAGTTCCCAGAGGGTGACACATGCTGAATTGACATGAGTAGCAGTGTTAGGGTGACTAACAGGGACTTGGGCTCCAGCTTGGTCCTCTCCTTCAAGCCTTCTAACATGTGTGTCCTGGCCACACCAAACTCCCAGAGCTCTTATGAGGAAGGGGTACGGCAAGTGCTCTGCTGTCAGCCAGTCACTGTCTCCAGAGAGCTGAGCGAGGCTCTAGGAAGGGTAGGGAATTTACACCGGGTTACACAGCACATCAGACACTTCTCCATGATCCCTGCCCTTCCTTCCTGTTTCACCTCCCACTTCATCCCCCCTCCTCAACTTGTTTCCTTGCTGGAAAGTGGGAGTTTAAGTATCATGCACAGGACTGTGAAGGACCCACAAAATGATGGGAGGAAGCCTGCTAACAACCTAAGATTCCCTCCCTGTGAGGTACTGTGATGACCCATCCCTGGGGGATCAGAACAAGACCTTGGACCCAGGACTGAGTCCCCAGGATCAGTAAGAAGAAGATGTCTACTTAGCACTTACACTCCAAGGCCAAGCCCTTGCAGCATTTCCAGGCCTCGGTGGTGGATGACAGGCAACACCAGGCCGTACATGAGCATCATACCACAGAGGCTCTGGACCACATGGATGATGAGGTAGCCTGGAGATGAAATAGAAGGCATCACTAGGGATCTCTCTCAGCCGAACCCCATCCTCCTCCCTGCAGGCAGACCTGACCTATGCCCTCTTCCACCAGGGGCACTTGGTATAACTGCTGGTGATGTTTCTTCTGCCTAGCGCTATTTTCCTATCTTCCTGCTTGTCCAGGATGTAGTTCAAATGTCAACTCCCCTAGAAAGCCATTGAGTCCTGAGCTAGCATGGAGGACCATTTCCCCTCTGCTCCCTGACTCCCTTAGCAAAGCCAGTGAGATGATGGCCAAGGGGAGATGTTAATGGTGTTTTTCCACTATTCTCCAAACTCCCCAAAGCTAGAAGCTATGGCTGCTTCTCTAGCCCTTCTGTGTCTCTCCTCATAGCTGCAGCTCTGCAGGTGCCCAGGAAACATGCACTGTGTCACATGGGTCATGGGGTGGCACTTACCCCAGAGGATGTAGGCTATTTGCCAGCCAGAGTACCTTGCAATGGCCACCTGAGAGTTAGAAGGAAAAAGGGGGGGGTCTCAGAGTAGAACGGGAGATGCTTTCCCCTAAAGCCTTATACCTAGGACCCCACCTGATCCGAGGGTAACCCATTAACCGAAGCAGGTTCTTCTCATGGCTGTGTCTCAGGATGGAGGCCCCGCTTGACTTCTCTATGTTCCTGCTCACCTGCTGCCCTGTCAGGTGGGGCCCAGCTCCTCTACAGACTCACCACACTCGCTGCAGAAGAGGGACTATGGAACTTCTGAGGGAGGAAGTGTTTGTCTCCAGCCCACAGCCTCTTCATATGCTTTCTGGGGAAGAGGGAAAGTATGTAACATTCCTAACTGTGGTGCTTTCTGTGGGGTCCAAGCTCAATGAAAAGGCCGGTGGAAGACTGTGGCAGTCAGTGGGTGTCAGCTGCCTCTCCTGGCAGAGTTCTGATTTCTCTTCCATCTTCAGGGTTACTATAGTTCGTAAAAATAATACATACTAATCAACTCATAAGAGCAATTGAATCTGATGAATGAAAATATATGTGGTTTTTCTTCATTCTGCTTTCTATACTTCTTATTCTGTTATGGTGAATGCATATTACTTAATAATATTTTTAAAACAGTAAATACCAGGAAGTCAATTTGTTGATAGCTTAACCTTATAGCAACATAACGAAAAAGCAAGGATGGACAAGATGGCTCAGCAGGTAAGAGTGCTTGCTGCAAAGTCTATTGACCTGAGTTCAACCCCGGGGAATCACATGGTAGAAGGAGAGAACCATTTCCCACAAGTCGTCCTCTGACCTCCCCACACGTGCCATGGTACATGCACCCACACACACACATCAGGCACACACACCCCACACACACACATCAGGCACACACACACAATAATAATACATTGCTTTGTTTTGTTTGAGACAGGGTCTTTCTACCTATCCCTGGCTGTATTGGAACCCTCTATGTAGACCAGGCTAGCCTTGAACTTATAGAGATCTGATTACTCTGCCTCCTGAGTGCTGGGATTAGAATTGTGTACCACTGAAGTGGAAATTTCTGGTTTCTTTAGAAACTCAGTTATGTCATATGATGTTTTTCTGGGGCAGACAGGTGAGAGGATGTTTTGCTAAAGCAGACACATGAAAGAATGATTTGCTGAAGCAGATTCATGAGAGGATGTGTGATGTTTAGAAAGAATATAACTATGACCCCACAGACAGTAGGAGGAGGCTCTGGCATTGATTTGCCTTTGCATTGAGTTGCTGATCTTCTCTTGTCATGACTTGGTAGAGTAACTCGCCAAAGAACTCGCGATACTCAGGAGGCTTCTTGCTGCTTCTTCAGACTCAGGCTGACTGGCAGAGCCTTGAGGTTTCATCTGGATTGAACTGCTTTTGCTGATTTGAGAGTGGTGATTGCTGAGTGGGCTGGACTGCCGCTGCTAAGTCATGTTGGTGTTTTTCTAGAGGACTGGACTGCTAACAACAAAGATTAGAATCGCCCCAAGATTATTTCTAAACAAGGCTACAACGCCCATTTCCTGTTAACCTTTCTTTTTCTACTACCTCTGGTGGGTGGTGGGCTAGAAGGGAGGTTGATGCTTTTAAGAACCCTTATTAAAGTAGGTTTTGAAAAATCTAAACCTACATACCACCATGCCTAGTCTAATATTACATTTTTAAACAGAAAAACCTTAAAGGGGTAACAACCCCTCATAGCTTTCTACCCCTTCCACTTCATTTCCCACACCCCTGTTTTTTTGGCTGGGAGATAGCCAGATGTAGCTTAGAAAATTAGAATAAATTAATACTGCTCAGCTATCATGACTAAAGCTTGATTAAATCAATCTTATAGTCTCTGTCTCATTAATTTGGGAACTAGCTGGGATAAAGAAAAAGCTGTCACTTTTAAAACTGCACGAATACCCCTGTCCAATTCCTGGCCTGTATGCGAAGGTTAGACTGGAGGTTTTCTGTCCTTAGGCCACACTCACATTTGTGGGATACTTTTTTGCCGCTTTGTACTCAATCTCAAGTATTTTTTTTTCCAGCTGGATTCTGCTTTTCATGATCACTGAATTGGAAACTCTTTGCCTAAAAGGAAAAATGTGGCTCTTGGCCTCATCTCCCGAGGAGCTGAACAGACTCTACAGCCTCCTCACCCATCCCTTAACACCAGCCACCAGCACCCAGGCTCCCTCTCCACTGGCCATGCCAGCCAGGGAATCAGATCCTCACGGCAGACCCAGCGTTCTCCTCTCCCGTGGATGCTCTTAGCCTTCCGCCCTTCTGCACACCCCCATTCCTGTATCAGCCCCCAATACTTAAAAATAAGTTCTACTTGGGATCCCTAGTGGCCACACCTGGTTGGAACTCAGAAGCACTCTCTAGCAGGCAGCCCATAGCTACCACGTGCGCATAAGATCCAGAGAGGGCAACAGAAACCAAGGAAGGAAAAACCCACCCAACAAAGACAAGACCAGACATCAACACCTAGAAATACAATCATCCCAAACCCAGATGTTGGCATAAATATACAACCAATAACAGCCAGGACAATATGTCTCCACTAGAGTCCATCAATTCTAGTACGGTAGACGGTGAGAAATGCCATATTGTTGAAGAAACAGACAAGGTCTTCAAAATGGCTTTTAGGGCTATGATCAAGGACCTTAAAGAGGGTATGAATAGATCCATTAATGAAAGCCCCGAAGACACAAACAGTGGAATGAAATGGAGAAAACTGTTCGAGACACAGAAGTGAAAACAGAATGAAGAAAACCCGAACTGAGGGAAAACTGGAAATGAAAAACTTAGGACCTCCAACAGGAACCTCAGAGACAAGCCTCAGCAACAGAATACTAGAGATGGAAGAGAATCCCAGGCACTCAAGACAAAATAAAAGACTTTGATACCTCGGTCAAAAAAATGTTAAATGTAAAACCCACCCAAGCACAAAAATCTGGGACACTATGAAAATACCAAACCTAAGAATAATAGGAATAGAGAAAGAAGAAATCCAGATCAAAAGCACAGAGAATATTTTCAACAGAAATCATAGAAGAAAAATTCCCTAACCTAAAGAAGGAAGTGCCTATCAAGGTATAAGATGTACACAGGGACACAGAGAGACTTGCAGAGAGAAAACACAAGCCTGCATCTTCTTCCTGCACTATTGTCCTTGAGTACATGCTTCCACATCTCATGGCCCCACCTCTACAGATGTTCCCTCGAGCTAGACTTACCTGCTAGGAGCCTGGGGTTATCAGCTCTGAAGAGTGGAACAGATCTGATACCCAACAATGAAGCAGAATACATAGACATACCATGGTTTCAGGAGGACTTGCCCCTCTGCCCAGAGCTTGAGCATGTCACTTTACTCTCATTGAGTTTCAGCTTTGTCAAGTGTAAACATTGAGAGGAATACTCACCTCCCAAGGTTGGGGCAAAGTTGGCCTGAGGACTCTAAGCATTATGGTAGATCATCATAGATGCCCAGCCTGAGAGTTAGGCTTATATTCCTCTCAACAAAGGTATGCTTGGCCATACCTGCCCCTTGTATTCACTCCCCATGGCCACACTAAGCCATGCAGGTACTGGTCAGAGATTCTAGGTAAGGAATGTCATGCTTTTTTTTTTTTTTTTTTTTTTTTTTGGCTGAAGTCATGTGAATGACTCCTAGAACTCTCTTACCTGTAACAGGCCAAAATGTGGAAGAGATAGGTGACACACGTGAGGGCAGCAGGCAAAATGGTCACCACCCAGACACCTGAAATACAAAAAGGTGACATCAGAGACTTGTAAAACACACCTGAAGTGGAAGTGCGGAGCACAGATCCACACTAGCAAGGTCTGGGTAAGCCTGTTCCACTCTTTTACCTCCTTCTCTGTGGGTGAGCTGGTGCCCAACTTAGCCACACACATCCTTGGTAGATGTGATTTCCTGCATGGCCTTCTGAAACCTTAGATGGTAAAGTGTCTCAACTACATTCAGTTCATTTTGGGACGGCTATGCATGATCCACATCATCAGTAGGCACCATGAATGGAAAATAATACCTAGGAGCTGACTTCTGATAGAGTGGGGGTGGGGCACTGGTCTCATAACCTCTGCTGTCAAGAGGCTGTAGTGCTCATCGTTCAGCAGGTTTCGCTGTTTAGGCTCGGTCTTGGCTACTTTTCTGTTGGTGCAGTCGGTCATGGTGGGGAGTCATGAACATGGGGCGGATGCTCTCTTGGCATTTACAGCCAGGAGGCGAAGGGAGACAAATGCGGGCCCTCAGCAGCTCTTCTCCCTAGTCAGTCCAGGACCTGGCTCATACAATGGTCCCATTCACATTTAGGGTTAGTCCTCCTACCTTAGGAGGTAGCAAATCCCTCACAGGTATGCCCACAAGCTCCTTTCCTAGGTGATCTAAGATGCTGCCAAACTGATCATCAGTACACAGCATCATGGGCTCTAACTGGCTTTCAGAGAGACTCTGGGTGCTCATGAGAGGAATATGGAAACAAACGGGAAACGGGAAGTTCATTTGCTTAACTCAACCTACTTAGCTCAGAGCATCAGTAGGGCTGACTCTCAGGTGGTGGAGAGAACCTTTTTCACAAACACACAACAAAGGAGAAACAGTAGGGAGTTTCCTCAGCCTGTGAAGGGGCTTTTGCTAAAAAGTTTCCCAGGACATTATCCTTCAGTGTGAAAAGCACTCCCCCAACCTGTAAATCAAGAAAAAACAGCATCCACTCTCACCAGTTCTACTGGAATTGTAAAGCAGGCTCTGACTCAAACAAGCAGAGGAGGAAAACAAGAGCTGAGGTATGTCGTGAACCCCCAGTACCTGGATGTGGGGGGAGGAGCCAGGACATCAGAAACTCAAGGTCCTCCATTTATCTAGCTCAGGGCTATCCCAGGCTATGAGACCTTGTCTCAAAACAAAAACACAAGTCCAGAACAGAGGCAGAAGCGGAGACTGTCACAAGATTAAGAATGAAACTGAAGAAAGAACTCAGTCTTTGGAGGCCAAGGTTCACAACCAAAAGATTGGGTGTTACCGGAGAGATGACTCAAAACCACCCTAACTCCAGTTCTAGGAGATCTGAGACCCTCCTCTCACCTCTGAGGGCACCAGGCACACAGGGTACACATACACTGAAAGTAAAAATAAATACAGAAAGAAGAAGAGTGGGCGCAACTAGACTTGCAGCATAAATGCTCTTCGGATGTAGAGCTCAAGGATTCATCATACTGAACACAAATCTACATTGACGTGTAAAGCGTCCGGAGAGCACAGTAAAGCCGGCAGTATGGAAGGATCAGCTGCTGCTGCTGCTTCAGTTCTTTCTGTGACCACAGAGCTATAAGAACGCAATCCATACCAAATACGTACCCTTCTGGCTTTGACGGTCTCCCAGCTTGTTAGTCGTAATGGGAAGAAAATCCCATTGCTACAGGTGTTTTATGACTTGCACAATGGTTCCCAACCTTCCTAATGCTATGACCCTTTAATACCTCGTGTTGTGGTGACCCCAACCATAACATTATTTTGTTGCCACTTCATAAATGTAATTCTGCTACTGTTATGAATTGTAATGTAAATATCTGATATGGGACTCCCAAAGGGGTCATGACCCGAAGGTTAAAAACCACTGACTTAAGAGATTGCATTAGTTTGATGAGAATGTTCCCTATAGGCTCAGCTGTTAGGACACTTGGTGCTCACTTGGTGGTGCTGTTTGGGAAGTTTAAAGAGGAGGCCTTGTTGGAGGAAGTATGTCACTGCAGGCCAGTGGGAGCTCTTAGCTTGTGCTCCAACCACCACGCTGCTTGATAGCTTCCTGTCACAATGGACTCTTATCCTTCTGGAACCATAAGCCCACACAGACCCTTCTATAAGTTCCCTTGGTCTTGGTGTTTTACTACAGCAATAGAAGAAGAAATAAGTCAAGGATATTCGGTGAGTCAGGGTCATAAGACATCAATGCCACAAAATCTTCTGGAGACCATCAAGATGTCTGTTTATCTAAGTCTCATTTTATAGAAGAGAAAACTAAGACCAAGAGGGAAGTTCTGACTTGTCCTGTCACACACACACACACACACACACACACACACACACACACATTCTCTCTCTCTCTCTCTCTCTCTCTCTCTCTCTCTCTCTCTCTCTCTCTTTGTGTGTGTGTGTGTGTGTTTGCATGCATGCATGTGTATGTAATGCAGGAGGCCAGGTGTCAATCTTGGGCATTGTTCCTTAGGAGCTGTCCACATGGTTTTTGTGATGTTGTTGCTATTTTGAGACAGTATCTCACATTAGAACCTAGGGTGTAGGCTAGCGGGCCAACAAGCCCCAAGGATCACCCTCTCTCCATCTCTATAGTACAGAGATTACAGCATATTCTATCATACCTAAGTTTTTGTGTGGGACCTTGGATTGTCCTGCTTACACAGTAAGTGCCTTACTCATTGTGGTGGTTAAGTAAGAATGGCCCACCTAGGCTCATAGGTTTGAATGCTTAGCCATTAGGGAATGGCACTACTTGGGAAGGACTGGGAGGTGTGGCCTTGCTAACAAGTAGATATGGCTTTGTTGGAGGAAGTGTGTCACTAGGGGATGAGCTGTGAAGTTTCAGAAGTCCAAAGCCAGGCCCAGAGAGAGAGTTACTGGGAACTCTCTCTTCCTGCTGCCTGAGGATATTGATGTAGAACATTTTTTCAGCTCCTTCTCCAGGACCATGCTGGCCTGTACGCTGTCATGCTTCCCACAATGACAATAATGGACTAAACTCAGAAGTACCCAGCCCTTAATTAAATGCTTTCTTTTATAAGAGTTGCTGGGTTATGATATCTCTTCACAGTGACAGAACACTGACTAAGACCATCCTTTAGTCATCTCTCCCACAGGCTTTTATCCTGACATCTTGTCCACGATTCTTCCTCACCTAGGAGACAGTGGGCATCTCCTCTTTCCACAGATGATGTATATATCATTAGATTACATCACTTTCTAAGAAAGCTTCTTTCATAAGTACCTTTCCTGTTACCAATAAAAACAAAAATGACAAGGGCTCAAAAAGACATTCCTCCACATAAACACCCAATAGATACATAGAAGTGTTCATTATTCATCTTTGGAAGATGCAAATTAAAAACACAATGCAAACCTTCACAGCTGTTCAGGTAACAGTGGGGAGGCATGGCGGCCAGAAAGCATGGGAGCTGTAGCAGCAACTGAGAGCTCACATCTTCAACAACAAGCAGGAAGCAGAGAGAACAACTGGAACTAGTGTGAATCTTTAAACTCTCAAAGTCCTCCTCCAGTGACATATTCCTCCATCAAGGCCAGACCTCCTAAGGTTTCTGAAACAGGACCACGAGCTGGGGACCAAATGTTCAAATCTATGAGCCTATGCAGGATTGTAATTAAAACCACCACAGCATGTCTGAGAGATCATCTTGATTGCATCAAATGAAATGGGAAGACCTGCCCACTGTGGGCAGCACTATTCCCATGCTTGGACTATTTAAATGGAGGAAGGGAGCTGAGCCCAAAATGAACTTGCCTCTATTTTCTGACTGTGGGCATGCTGTGACCTATGGATTCAAGCTCCTGCCACATTAATTTCCCTGTATGACAGACTGTACCTAGAACCAGAACAAAATGTCTTCCCTGTGTTGCTTTTGTAAGTGTAGTTTATCACCACAACAGGATAAGACAACTTAAAATGAGAAATTTCCATTGGCAGCTTCAGTTCAGCCTCAGCCCTCTGGCCTAATGGACCCAGGAAGGCACAAATATACTTTCACACAAAGGAAATCCAGGCACCTGGTCAGACAGTGTGAATGCTCCTTGGAAGATGAGAGTGGGCGGCCTTACCCTTAGAGACGCTGATCAGTTCTTTCACCTGTAGGATGACTGGGGTCAAGGTCCCTGTCTCGTTCATGTTGGTGAGGTAGCCCTCCAGCTTGTCCTCAAACATGTCCAGCTGATCTCTCACATGTAGAAACACACAAAACTCAATGACGATGAACTGCGGATGCAGAGCACAGGTGTCAAGGTCTCCTGAGACCAGCTCAGCATGGAAACAAATACAAATGTCGTTAGGGCTTGAGGCCAGCCTCTTGCAGACAGTCAAAAGTCTCTTGAACATGATAGTATGCAAACTTGTTCTTCATCCAGAGTGACTCAAAAAATACTTGAAGGTTATGGAACCTGGAGACAGAGGTGACCCTAGGAGCAAGACCAGCCACATCTCCCATGGCCCCTTCACTGATTTAAACAGGAGCTATACTGGAGAAGTCATTCTACATGATAGCAACGCTTGTCCACTGTCCTGTCTGCCCACCACACACTCTTGCCTTTCTGGTTCCCACCACCTTCTTTCTCCAACAACCAATCATGTTTGTTTTTGAGAGTGTAGTGTGAACAGCACCATCATCAAGCAGTTTCTTAGTCCAGAATTACTCACTGGACTTCAGAACGCCTTCCTCATCTCTTTTCTCTCTTAGAATGGCAGAGTTCTCTTTCCATGTCCTACTCCTTCTCCTGGACCCACAGCTTCTCTCCTGTTAGGGCTATGCTGGAGCATCTTTCCACGTTCTCTTAGCTCTTAAGACAATGCTTAGTATACGGTAGATGTTCAATAAAGTCTTAAAGCACACTATAATGCCAAGTGAGTTACTCAGTGCTGCAGAGAGCTTGCTTCCGTTGTCCTTTCAAATCCATCCTCTGGGGGCTAAGGAGATGGCTAAGTGGATAAAGTGTTTGCAGAGCTAGCACCAAGACCTGAATTGGGTCCCCAGCAATCACATGGTGGTGCAGGCTTGTAACTCCAGAGCTGGGAAGGCAGAGACAGTCAGATCCTAGGACCTCAGTAACCCCCTCCCCCGCCTAGACTAATCGGAATTTCCAGGTCTCAGTGGAAGATCCAGTCTCAAAAAACAAGGAGCGGGGACTTGAGAGATGGCTTAGGGGTTAAACCACTTGTAATATAATTATTTATATTATATTACAAGTATATTATGTATAATATAATATAACATAACATAACATAACATAACATAACATAACATAATATAATATAATATAATATAATATAATATAATATAATATAATCAGAGTTCAGATCCCAAGCATCCATATAAAAGCCTGGTGGGCATGGCAGCCACCTGACATCTCAGTGCTAGAGAGCAGAATCTCCACGACAAGCTGGCTAGCTAGAGTAGCCCAACTGCCAAAATCTGGGTTTAGTGAAAGACCTGCCTAATGAAATAAAGGAAGACAATTGAGGATGACACCTGACGTCACCCTCTGGCCCTGCACATGCATACACACACATACACACACACACACACACACACATATTTATACAACCAAGTACACTAAATTAATTAACTAAATTCCATTCTCCCTTCTTTAGTCACAGAACTGAACTACATTTCCCAGCCTCCCTATGTGTGACCACATGACCCCATTTGGACAATGGAAGAGTGTCGGGAGCAGCCCTGCTTATACACTGAAGGCCTAAAATCAGCCATAGGCCTAAAATCAGCAATACGCCTGACATACATGCCTGCTAGCACCAAGTCTTGGGTCTCTGTGGAAAAACACTGAAACAGATAGCTGAGAGTTAGTGTAAACAGCTTTGGTGGAAGGCTGCCAAGCCTGGATACTCATAGACCTTGTAGATAGGTAGCCTTGGTGGATAGTACCAACTTAGATAAAGACAAGTGAATCATAGGTGGAGTCATAGTGATCTGTCCCCTGAATCTTCACCCAGCTGACACTCTGTTCTGGAAGATAACTGTACTCCCCTTGAACACCTACGCTCCTGCGTCATCTCCTTCCCCACAACCTGCCTTTTTGTGTGTATAACCTGTGTGTGCAAAAGTAAAAATTACAATCTGATCAGATTATAGACAGGTCAAGACTTCCTTGCGTCTTTGCCTGCTCCCCCTCCCTCCGCTCTCTTTCAGGTGACCTCCACGGACCCCTGTTTAATGTCCTGCTGGACAGGACAGAAGAGAAGCAGAAGGGAAAGGTTGTACACACCTAGTCTAGGAAAACTCTCCCTAAGCATTTTGCTATTTTCCCTCCCTGCTATTGACTAGGTGGCCATGAGGTCTTAGGAATGGATAGGCACACGATAGAGGATGCTGGATACCTGAGTGACTGCTAGGAAGAGAGCTGCCTCCCAGACCTGAACACACTCTCAGCAGTGGGGTGGGGGTGGGGCAGACATATAGTGACAAGCCACTGGCATTTAGAATGACATCAATACTTCGGTATAACCTAATTAACATATTCCCTTAAAACCTGAACAACAAACTGACACTAAAGAAACATCATCCCTGCCTTCAAAACAAGCAAAGATAACAAGGCCTTGCCATCTGTGTTCTGCAGATTGCAGCTGCCCTGGACTCAGCCAACTTTATTTCCAATGATTTAGAACATGTACAATGTCTTTATTTTAAATCTGATAAAACACTGAAGTGAGATTTTTTGTTTGTTTGTTTGTTTTTTTGTTTTTCGAGACAGGGTTTCTCTGTGTAGCCCTGGCTGTCCTGGAACTCACTCTGTAGACCAGGCTGGCCTCGAACTCAGAAATCCACCTGTCTCTGCCTCTCAAGTGCTGGGATTAAAGGCGTGCGCCACCACCGCCCGGCTCTGAAGTGAGAATTATATTAACACTGAAAACATTTTCTTGAGAAAAAAACAGCAAATGAAAGATAGTTGAGCTTTGATTCATACTATAAATCAATTCTACCTTTGCACTTTCATCTTTTAAGTCACTGAAATAAATTATTTTTGTGAGAATCAGTTACCTGCTGGACAGTGGTGTCATACACGCCTATAGTCCCAGCACTCAGGAGGCAGAGGCAGGCTGAGCTCTGAGTCTGAGGACAGCCTGGTCTACAGAATTCCAGGACAGCCAGGGCTACACAGAGAAACCTGGTCTTGAAGGGAGGGGGGTGGGATTTAAGTTTTCACAGCATAACTTACTGTCTATAATTGTATGTTTTCTTTATAGATCATTATTATCCCAGTTATGCTAATTGGGTCAGTTTAGCATATCAAATGATACAGAACATTTTTTTCCTTATCAACTGTTAATCTATGCCAAATTTTATCACATGGATTTTTTTTTTTTTTGAGATATGGCCTCACTATGTAGCCCTGGTTAGCCTGGAACTATATAGACTAGGTTAGCCTTGAGCTAACAGAAATCCACCTCTGTCTCCTGTGTGCTGGGATTGAAGGTGTGAGCCACCACCAGTGTTATTTGTGCTGGGTAACTAACTCTCCAGTGAGTGTCACCACATGGGGAAAGGTCCTTGCAGGTCAAAGGGTTGATCACTGTACTTCCTTAACTCGCCCCGTTTCCAGTCTGACTCAGACTTTAGGCACACACTGCTTGTCCCAAAGACTAGGTGATCCCAGACTAGACTCTGCTCTGTTTACAAAACAGGAAAGGATTTTCCTGGAGCTACTTACAAGGTAGAGGCAGATGAAGGCCAGCACGAGGGTCCCGATCATCCTGCTGGGGAACTGGAAGCAGGGGTCCCACTCATACACCCTGGTTTGAAACCAAGACTTATCTCCTTCTCTGTGAATGAATGGACACACAGAAAGGAGCATTGGAAGTTCCCCGAGCTTTCTGTCATCCCTCATCTTTAAGGACAAGGACTGTCCAACAAAGACTGTTTAACAAAAACACCAAAACAAACAAAAACAAAACCCAGAAACTCCAGCTTCTCTAGCAGCTAAGAGCCTCTGACTGGGTTCTGTCACCCTGAGTGTCAGGTAGGACTTAGAGCAGACTACCCAGGTGGAGCTGACACAGTCAGGAACTCCTTTTGTTCTGTCCCGTTTCCTTCTATCTGTCCTCAGAAATGCAGACTAGTGGCTGGTCCAGGCCAGAGCCCTTGAGGCAGCACAGAGGGGGTGTTGGGGAACAGACTAAGACGTAGGTGACTTGGGAGCCATTGAGGGTCACTGTGGACTGCTTACCTCCAGAGTTCTTACATGTGACAAAATAATACATCTGGGTCTTGTTAGTGCCGATATTATTTCAAATCTAGTTCTCCAAAGCTAACACTCATCACAGTATGAACTTTGCCACTCCGTGATTTGGGACAAAATACATTCCTTCTCTGGGATCTACCCAGTATGAGTGGTGGCTGAACAGAGGCAAGCAGGACTGGACCATCTCAGAAGCTAATTATCCCCACCCTGGGTCTTACTACTCAAGTGAGGTTGTTGCTCCTGTCTCTCTTCTGTCCCAAGAAATGAGCTCGGCCAATCATCTAGACTTGGAATTGTTTTCAGCTGGCATTTGATCCAAGGGGACATACTCAAATGACTTTTTTAAAAACTGGAAAGTGTAATGTGCCTTTTCTCCTAAAGTCTGGAGAGTGCAGTGGGGAGAAAGCTCACCTAGAGTGCGGCCCAGGCAGTTAGGAGCACTGTAGGGAGCACTAAGCACTAAGCAAACACTCCTGAAGTTGTCTCTTAAGTCTCTGGTCCAGTCAGCCTGCAAAGAATTCTCTCTCAAAGTCTTTTTAGAGTCCTCCCCCACCCTGATCCGGTTTCCCCCTACTTTGTTCTGCTTTGGGTTGGTTCCTGTTATCAGCATGGACTCCTGCAGTGTCTCTCCCTGCAGTGTCTCTCCACCATCCCAGGGCCTGTCAGAGAGGCCTGGTACAAACTGCAGGGGAGAAGGGGCAGAAGAGCACTTACTGTGGGCGGGGCTTCCTCAAGAGCTGCTTCACGTGTTCTGCCTGGTGGGCCTCCAGCATCGACTTTTCTTCCTGTGAGGAAGGAGGGGATGTGCAGGCTCACAGATGCTTGCTAGGTTTGGTTCCTTACTGGGTCATCGACATGAAGGCCAGGATTTGGAATCAAGCTTACTGGTCCCAGCACCGGTTATGCCTAGGAGCCGGCTTCAACTTTGTCAGGCTTCTGCGGTCCACAAAGACCAGAGATCTGGTCCTTTAGGCCAGAGACCTGGTCCTTTTCAACTCTCCTAGCCCAGGTTGAGCCAGCCCCCGCTCCAAGAAGCTTGTCTCCCTTGCCAGAGAGGCTGTGCAAGAAAGCATGTGAGACCCCGTTCTCCCGGCTGCTCTGAAGAAATTAGCGTTCAGAACTCACTGTCTGAGGCGCCAGGCCCAGGTGGATAGGCAGAGCCTTAAGGAACATGTGCAGGAAACGACCCAGCAGGAAGCCCAGGCACAACAGTGAGGGCCAGTAGAAAATGAGGGTCTCAAACCTCCCGAGAAACTACAACAGAAACAGAGATGGGGTCAGGGAATTAGTAGGCTGTAGTGAAGTAATGCCAGAATACTACTATGAAGATGGGACGGGGCTCTGCCTGCCCCACGGATCCACCTTCTCTAAACAACTAAAACAGGAACCAATCCTTGCTCTATATGGTCAGCCAATCTCTGACACGACACGCCCCCTTAATGGTTGACCAATCCTGCTCGCCTCCCCTACATGGTCAGCCAATCTCTGTTCCCTTCCCTACATGATCAGCCAATGTCTGCTCCCACTACATGGTCAGAAGGAAAACTGGATTTGGAGTCCAGTAACCCTGGATGAAAAATTCTGAGCCCTTTTATTTATGAAAACAGCGTTTTGGTTTTATTTTGCTCTGTTTTGTTTGTTTGTTTTAATCTAGTGAAAATAGTGAATATCCCTTTGGGGACGTGTGAGAGACTGGGAAGCGGGTGGATAGACGGATGGGAAGAGGAGGTTGGGTTGGGGAAAGGAAGAAATAGAAAGACCGAGAGGGATGAAAAGAAGGAGGGAGGGGAGGGAGGGATAAAAGAAGCAGGAGGAGACAGAGCGTAAGGAGGAAGGACCTATAATACCACAAGGGTGGGAGTTGGGTGGTAGAAAGTTTAACAGGCTTCTCAAGGGAGTGCTCACAGTTTTTCTTTGTTTTTATTTATTTATTTTTGAAATTCCTAGTTTTACTGCTTTCAGACCAACGCTAGTGGGACTCAGCTTTCACAGTGTGCTGGCTGATTTCTTGTTTTGTTACATTCTGGAGGCCTTGTTCCCCCAGGGAAATTGGGGCTTGATGCTAACAATGATGTAAGGGGACATGACAGAGAGGCCCTGAGATGGAGGTACCACCATTTCCTTTCACCTCTCACACCTTTCTGGCTCACCTTGACCACGACCAGCATTTTGGTGTTTCTCCCCCACGTCTGGGAAGGGCTGGTAAGGCCTGAGTTCTGGGCCCAGATAACCTCCCGACACCCTCAAACCTTCCTGGGAACCCCTCTAAGTGTATCATGACACCTGAAAGACCCTGAGAAGGAAGGACAGGCAAGGAACAAGCAACTTGCTGACAGCACAGGCCTGTACTCGGGGAAACCTGCAGAGAGGAGGCCTATGCAAGTATCAGGACCTGCTGCTGCCTACAAGCTGGGGCATTTACATGGCAGAAGGGGCAGGGATGAGGGAAAGAGGTTGAAAAACTTTTGGCTTTGGCCCCAAGTTGGCCATTGTTAGGGGTGGTCAGTTAAAGAGTGTCTATTGTTAAAGGGAGTCCATTACTGGGGTCCTGAAAGCAAGAATCTAGAGAAATAAATTCATTTACTGCAACCCCTGAAATTTTCACAGTTCAACCAAATGGAGCTTGTACAGAATGGCATGGACCTAGCTAACAATATCCTCTTCGTTTTGCTCCTTTTCTGGGTTTGGAGACCAAGCCTCCAACTTTCAATAGCTCTGAGAAGAGCAGTGAATGGCTGGTCCTGCTGGAAAGGCTTCACCTATCTAATGATCTGGTTTTACAGCAGGAGAAGCTGGGGCTAACTGGAGTGGGTAGAAAGTTGCCCTGACAACGGCCAGCCCCTGCCTCAGCCCCCAGTTCTGCTCATTCCTGGGACTTACTTGGCAACGTTGACATAGTTTCCTCACCTGTAAAATAAGTTTGATGACCAAGCAGTGCATCGAGTGAAAGATGCTACACAAACAGAAGCAGGGTGAGCAATACCTGCTCCCCTCCCCTACAGGTGGGAACACTGAAGTCTAAAGAATGCTCCTCTGAGCTCACAGCTCCTGGTGGGCCTGAGGTGGTGACTGGACACCCTGAGCAAGGTCAGCAAGGACTTACCTGCCCATGGGGACACTGTGAGATCCGAAGAACAGTAACCACAAACCTGCAGAACAGAAGCAGGGTAGGATTGGCTTCTGTCCCAATGCAACCCAGAGCAATCTGGGGAACACAGCCCAGATGCTGCCTGTCACCCCCCAGAAGGACTGTATCTGTCCCTTCCTGATTGGGTCCCTCCTTGTGCCTAGCAGAACACTACCTTTTCTGAGTCTGCCTTGATGGGGACACATCTCAGAGTCCTTTTGGACAAAAGAGGAATATGCAGATGTTCCTCTAGCATTCAAGGAGGCAGAAGTCCAGGGTTAGCAAGTGATTTGTCCAAGCCACTCACAGATACATAGAGCCAGGGCAAGGTCTCAGGTCTCCTGACTGTGACTGAGGCTCTTGCGGAGTGTGGGAGTAGGTGGGTGGATGGGGGAGGGGGTCCTGGACTAGGCTTCAGGGACTCAGGAGTGAAACTGTTCCAAGGCAGGTTACTCCACTGGCAGACGATCCCTGGTGCCAGCTCTGCATAAGTGTGCAGTGCTGAAGCCATTTAACCTGAGCCAAACACCCTCCCAGGTGAAGGGAAGATGCCCCGCACACGGAATAGGAACACAGAGGCACGGGGGCAGAGTCCACGAGGATCATAAAGGACGGCTGTTGAGTGTGTAAATAATGGAATGTAGGAAACCATGGGACTGAGAGTATGCCTGGACATGCTTAGGGACTGGAGGAGGAGGAAGCCAGGTCCAGGTGGCCCTGAATGCCAGAGATATGACAACTTTTTCTATGAGAAACCATAGGCATGGAGCGCTTAACTCCTCTATGGGGACCCTTGTCAGTTTCCAGAAGTGTATTTTCCTTAATTCCTGGCTTCTAGGAATATTCTAACCATGGGCAACCTCTCAGGAGGCACACAGCATCCTGGACAGATGTTTGGAAGCTTCAGAAGTATCCCCAAGAAGAAGTCATAATGGGACATTGAGCAAAGTCACCTCTGCCCACACTGGAGCCCACCCCTGTCCTCCTGCCTAGAGTTCAGCCATGGCCAATACAGCAGAAGACAAGCAGAGTCATCTTACCACGTCAGGGAGTAGCCGAAGCCCAGGATGGAGCTGACCAGCTGGAACTCTGAGGATAGGCAGGCAAAGAAGGGGAAGTAGGAGAGGCCAACTTCTATGCCCCCAATGAGAAGCACAAAGGCTGCAAGAGACAAGGCCAAGATGCTGTGGGCTCCTCTGCTCTCTACTCAGAGGTGACCAGGAGAGCTGTGGTATTCTGTTCTGAGCTCAAGCCAGAGCCTTAGGACCCAAAGAGCTGACTGGAAGAGCTCTAGACCATGAAAGGGAAATGCAGCAATGTCCTTTATTAAACATTCCTGCTCCCCTTTCCATGACAAGTGACAGCTGACCATGAAGATGAAGACTTTATACCTGAGGAGCTCACAGTATGGCAGGCACAGACTGACCAGCCAGCAAACCAAAATGGCACCCAAATGTATCACAGAGGCTCACACAGGCATGTTGTGTGTACTGGAGAGTACTCTAGGGAAGGTGATAGTCACATTGCTCCAGCAATGCACACCATAGAGAACTCTCTATAGAAGCAATGGTCACATGGGTCCCAGCACTGGCTAGCTCTGAGATGGGTTGACAGCTTCTAAGAAAGGCTTAGTCATCCAAGCTGACCTTTATGCTGTGCCAGCATCGAGCTGTTCCTGTGCTAGGCACTGCATGGCAGAAATGGCCAGGGTTCTTGCTTTGAATATTGACAGTTCAGTGGGCAGGAAAGTGGTCTGAAACGAGCTGTGACAAAGGCACAGTCATCCCACCACAGGGACACAGACAAGGAAACCAATGACACTCTGTCTCCAGGAGGCAAAGAATGGAGCAGCCTCCCTGGAGGTGTTGATTTGCCCCAGCAGTGCACTATGAAGAGTTTGTACAGTGGAGAGATGATTTCAGGACTTTTCGGGAGTTCATCAAACCTTTTGATCAGAGTAGTTCCTTTCCATGAACACAGAGCCTGGGGAGAGAGGCCTCCAGCCAATGGGCAAGAAAGGGTCATTCCTCAAGGAGCCCCAGAAATTGCTGCTGTCAGAAAACAGTAGGCTCAGGAGACTGGCTGAGGAGGATGAGGAAGGCTGTACTTCCAGTGCCTGTGCTATGTCTGTCTAAAGCACCTCTGAGTCTAACTGCAGGGAAGCTCCCAGGCAGGCGTAGGCTACTAAGAATTGACCCTGGGCAAGTGACAGGCTGAGAAGAATGTGGCCACTCACATTCTTTTACCCCTCCAGACAATCCCTATGGCCTCTAAGAGCAAGTATGTCCAGGAGACATTCCCAGGATGTGTAAGGCAGCCCTGGTACCTTGGGCCCACTGCGGAACCTTCAGGGGCTGGTAGCCTTCTGAGAACAAGAACATGACCTTATTGGCTGTGGCCCCAAAGGCCACTCCATAGGACCATCGGTTACTAAAAGTCCCCACGAAGTCCAGAGGCCTGCAGACAACAGAAATGGTGTGTGAGTCTCCAGGTCATCTCTAAAGTAGCCATACCGCCTGTTGAGAGTGAAGGATTGTGGGAGAGTGAGCTGCTCATTGCAACCACAGTCTGGAGCTAAGCATAGATTCTGAGCTTTGAAGTGAGGAAGATGTAGTCCTCCCTATAGAAGTTCTCCAAATCTAGTAGGGACTCGACAAGGTCTGGATATCATTGGCTAAGCTAGTACCACATAACTGTGGGAATTAAAACTACTCCACCTCAAACTATGTCACTTTAGCATATGGAGTATTTTGAATTAAAGACACTCAGGGGAAATGACAGTTAAAACACAATATGGAGCTGGAGAGATGGTTCAGTGCTTAAAAGCACTGGTTGCTCTTCTAGAGGACCCTGGTTTCATTTCCAACACCTATGTGATGGCTCGCAACCATCTATAACCCCAGTCCTAGATTATGCAAAGCCCTGTTCAAGCCTCTGTGGGCATTGCACGCACATGGCCTGCAGACATACACACAGGAAGAACACCCATACATATAAAAGAAAAATGAAGGTTAAAAAGAAAAACGTTAGGAAAAAAATACCCAGAGACAATGAGGATCCAGAGAGCAGGCTCAGCAGTTGGAAGTGTGTACCATACTTGTGGAAATCCTGAGTGTGATTTCTAGCATCCGTGTCAAGGGGCTCACAACTGTCTGTTAACTCTAGGACCAGGGAGATCTGATATCTCTGGATTCTGAGGGCATCTGCACTCGGGTAGGAGCGTGTGTGTGTGTGTGTGTGTGTGTGTGTGTGTGTGTATGTGTATGTGTTTGAGTGTGCTCAACTTTCACTGCATCTTTGAATTTTCATGTCCTTATGGGGCCCCTGTGCTTGTAAAAGTCACATTAAGTAAATTTAAGTTTTTATGTTCCTGCCAGTTTGTCTTCTGTCAATTTAATTCTCTTGCCATTTTGGTTGTGAGTATAACCTTTAACGGTTGAGCCATCTTTGCAGCCCTCAGTTTAATGCTCAAGTCCAACTGAAGAATCCTATGAGGACATGGTGAAATTTTCACTCCCTAACATGATTGTGCTTTCCTGCCATGGCTGGCAGTTTGGATGCACCAGGCCAGTGTCTGGTTGTGTCTTTTTTTCATTGGGACCCTCAGGCTGTGAGCCAGTAAATTGTTAGAGTCACTCCAAGTCAAGATCGGAGTGGATGCTACAGAAAAGCCAGAATCATGGAGCAGCAAGAGCCCAAGTCAGGTGGCCAAAAGGAACAAGGCACAGTGGCTCAGAGTTGCCCGAGGGAGTGAGGGGCAGAAAAAGACAAACTTAGTCTCCTTAGAAGTTTCTTCTCCATTCTCAGGAAATAAGCTGGTTACTGTGAATACTTTGTAATTTTCATTTTAAATTTTCCTTCTTTTTGTTTCTTGTGGTTTAATGTGGGTAGATATTGTTTCTCCTAAGCAAAAGTTTCACCTAGCTCATGGTATGCAAATGTGGGAAGGGCTCTCCAACCAGAAGGTTCTCTTGGAGTAGGCTTTAGTCAGAACTTGGAGCTGGGAATACTCAGGCACACCTGTAATCCTAGCACTTGGAAGGTACAGACAGGAAAATCAGGAGTTCAAGGTCATCCTTGGCTTCCTAGTGAATGTGAGGCTAGTGCGAGTAACAGGATATCCTGCCACAAGGAGAGAAAAATACAGTGCACTCTGGTGGCATGAGAGCTGGTCACTACAAATCAGAGTCCTTATGACTCCTTCTGCCTCCCTGTGAGCTCGGCCTCAGAAGCCGTCTTCATCTCCACCACAGAAGGCTCCCTCAACTGTTCCCTCAGCGTCAAGTTCATGTTCTTGTTTCAGTACACTGCCCTCCATGTCATCGCATGCTTAGGAAACTATAAACTCTGCTGGGCCGGGCCTACAGGACCTCTGACAGAACTCAAGCTCAGTACAGGTTTGCAGAGATGCAATTTGTCCAACTGAATCCCATCAAGACTCAACCATGGTACTTAAGGTGTGTGTGAGACTCGGTTTCTCCATACTCAAAACAGAGATCAAAGCCTCCTGCTTTGCTTATCAGAGTCATTGTGGGCAGCAAATGAAGCTGGATAATGCTGTACATGTGTCTCTGCATGTGCATGCGTGCGCGCACACATACATACACACACACATACATACACACACACACACATACACACACACAAGGGGTATGTTAGTTACTTTTCTGTTGCTGTGATAAAAGAAATAGGCTCATGCGTTTAAACATCTGATCCCTAATAGGCACTGTTTGGGAAGGTGATGGAACCTTTTAGGGTAAGAGTCTTGTAGGAGGAAGTATGTCACTAGAGGTGGCCTTTGAAGTTGTATGTCTTGGGCCCCGTTTCCTGTTTCCTCCCTCCCTCCCTCCCTCCCTCCCTCCCTCCCTCCCTCTTCTGTCTCCCGAACCCCTCTCCTTCTTGTGCATAGATGAAATGATCAGGAATATATGGCCTGCTTCATGCTCCTGGTGCCATGCCTTCCACTCCCCAGTGTTTTGCATTCCTTCTGGAACTATAAGTCTAAATAAAACTCTCTTCCCAGTTTGCTTTTTGTTAGGGAGAAGGAGGAGGATTCATGAGACAGAATAATTAAAACTCAAGGGGAAAAAATGTGCTAAGGGGTACCACGATGCAGAATGGCATAACTAGGAAGACTCCGGAAGCTGGGCAGGATCTCACACATGCTTCATGGTGCCATCACAACCAGAGCAGTGGCTGCTTTTGGTCACTGGGAGTCTTTTGCCTCTTGTTTCCTGGGGTGGCCACAGTCCCCTCAGTGGGAAGGCATTATGGTTTGGATGTAAAATGTTTCCCATTGTCTCATGTGTTTGAAGAGTTGGTTCCCAGTCATTAGTGTTGTTTGGAAGGTTATGGACCCTGAGAGAAGGTTCTAGATGGCAGAAGTACAGCAGTAAGAGTGGGCCTTTGAAGGTTATAGCCTAGTGTTGCTTCCTGTCTGTCCTCTGCTCCCTGATCTGGCCACCATATGAGGAGCTCTGCCACACACTGCTGCTGCCACAAACCAAGCTGTTCCAGCCGCTACACCTTCATCATCGTGATGGATCGTACTACCCTAAACTGTGAGCCAAAATAAGCCTCTACTCCTTTAAGTTGCCTCTGTCTCATGGCTTGTCATAGCAATGAAGGAATCACTTTCATGGAGGGCCCTATCCATGGCTGTCTCGGTCTCTTTGAGAAGTGTCTTCCTACCTGGGCATCCCTGGGTGCTGATGGTGGCAGTGGCTTCTCAGAGCATTGTTTAGGGAATACGTACAGTGGGAGAAGACTGGATCCTCAGAGCTACCTGGCCCTGCACTTTGTGTTGAGCCCAATCACAGGGTATGCCAAGCTTCAAGAAATGACCTTGAGTCAACTTACACGATGATTCCAAAGTGGTTCCCCAAGAGGTAGGAGGTGTCATCTCTTTGTCTCCGATGCGCTCGTCTTTGGAGGAAAGACAAGACCAAAATGATGAAGAGCTGTAAGGAGAGAACAGTGTGTCAGGGGACCTAGTCACCCTCAGGGTGGCCTCAGTGTCCCCACAGAAAAGAATGTGTGGGCAAGCAGAGAGCTTGCATCTGTGACAGCTGGTACTCCATGTCCCTCAGAGCTATCAGAGGGTTCTGCTCTGACCCTTCCTCTGTGTGGCCCTGCATAGATAGAGGCTTGAATCCAATTTCCACACACACATCCTCCCTGAACCTTGGTTTCTGTCTTTTGAAAGGCAGCCATGCCTGTCAGATTTCAAATCTTTCTTCCCTTCGATTCTGTTGGGTTTGGTCATGTTCCTAATTTTATTAGAAATGTCTTGAGGATTGTCTGTGTGTGCTCTATTGCCTTGTCTCTGCTGGCCCTTCAGACCCTGTCGTTGCACTGCAGGGGCTATGACATCACCAGCAGCCATCTTACCTACCACCCAAGGTAATAACAACTCCAGCCTGATCTGCCGGCAGTTCTCCTTCTCCTTACTCCCTCTTCCCTGGGCTTCGTCCACCATGAGTTCTTGTTCCCCCATTCTTCTCCAGGCCCTGGCTGGGTCATTCTCTCCCTGGCTTCTGGATAGAGAGTTCCTGCGGCTCCATCCAAGCCCTGCCTTTCCCGGTCCCTGACCTCCTCCCTAGAGAAAACATTTAATGACACAAAACATTCACAAGCTTTTGCCTTTAGCCCTGACCCTGCTCACCCAGTAGCTCCAGATCTGTTAAGCTACCCAGCTGGCATTTCTGTTAAAAGCTTCTCAAATTCAGTATGTTTTTCATGAAACTCATGCTTTTCCTGTTGCCCCATTCCTTCATCCACCCCAACCTGACCTCTCTTCCCCCTTCCTGGGGATTACCTACCTCTAAGGTCTTGTACATGCTGGGAAAGTGCTTTACCACGGAGCTACATGTCTTGCCCTCTTTTAGACTTTTTTATTTTAAGACAGGGTCTAATGTCTTATTAAGTTGTTCAGAAGAATCTTGGACTCAAACCCAGTTCAAGGGCATCCAAGAGTTCCAGACATGCATGTGGTACATAGACATGTCTGGAATGCATGCAGACAAAACATCGACAAGTATATTCATGAATTTAAAAATTTAAAGGCAAAAATCAAAAGGGAATTCCCCCCCCCCCGAGAAACAATACCCGAGATTGCCTCTGGGCTCCACATTCGTGCACAGGTGTGTTCATGCACACCTGTACACACATCCACAAAAAAAGTCCCATATCACTAGCTCTAGAACCCAAAATGCTTTGCATCTTTTGTATGTGTGCTTGGATGCACACTGTAAGAAACTGAGTAGGGTTCTGGAAGGAGAACTGTCAGCTCTCTCCCCTGTGTGACGCAGGCCTGCCCAAAAGCTGTGTGGTGGAGCATCCCAAATCCCCTCCCTCACTCCCTGACCCTTCCCTCACTGCTCCTGACTCAGTGCCTCCTCCCCTGGGCTCCCCTACCTTTACTTACTGATGGGATGAGAGAGTAATGGAGGAAGACCTCCCCGTCCACTGAGTTGTCACAGGTGATATTTAACTGCCTGGTCCTGAAAAATAGCCACCAGTCACATCATTCACGTCAGTAGTCACAGGACAGCACTGACTGCAGCCTGGAGTAGTCCTCTCAGTAGTCAACTTCCCTCAACTTCCTTACTTGCATTCCCAAGAATGCGGCCTGCTCACTCACGCTCTTCCTACATGAGTGCTCCCCTTCATCATCGCTCTGCCGATCCCTGGAGTTGGCACTAAGACCCCTATCCATACCGGGATGACAAGGTTGTGGGCAGATTTGGGTTTTGTGGGGAGTTCTTTTTACAGAACATTACAGAAATGCCTGCCTTTTTCCGTGTTCTAAGGAAAACTAATGACCATGAAAACCCTTAACTAGAGTTCTTCCCATTTTCCCAGCGCCCCGGAAGGGCCTGTGCAGGGAGGAGAGCGAGACTGAAGTCAGTCTGTGGACCTGGGTTTTCACAGCCAAGGTCAGGAACACCACTGAAGTGCTGGGGCAGGAGGAGGAGCAGGGAGGGGAGCAGAGGGAGCAGGGGAGCAGGGGAGCAGGGGGGGGGGGGGGGGGGGGGGGGGGGGGCAGGGGGGCAGGGGGGCAGGGGAGCAGGGGAGCAGGGGAGCAGGGGAGCAGGGGAGCAGGAGGAGAGCCATTAGAGCACACACTGCAGATGTCCTCAGGACAAAGCTGGTGGGATCTCAAGTCAGAAACACAGGGACGCTTTTCCTAACAAGGGATCCCCCCTTTCCTAGGCTCCATCACACCTTGTTCCTGCAACCCTGACACAGCACCAGCATGGCCCGCTCTATCACTTCTCTGATCTCTGCTCTTGCCATTCTTGAGTCCAGTACAGACAGACAGCCATCTCCTCGCTTCATCTCACAGCCAGTGACTCCTGTTCCCTCAGAGGTCTTGGGGAGAGCAACCCTCAGGGGAGACCAGAAACACGCACATACACCCTCTGGAAAATCCTAGCAGCCTGTGCTTGTGTCTCACCACAGATCTGAAACATCCAGAAAATATCATGGAGTGGGGCTCAAGTGGTGAGAAGTAAGGCAGGCGTGCAGTTATACTTTGGCTCTTAAGAACATTAAGAGAGGTCTGGAGAGATGGCTCAGCAGTTAAGAGCAATGACTGCTCTCCCAGAGGCCCTGAGTTCAATTCCCACAACTGCTTGGTGGCTCACAGTCATCTGTAATGGGATCTGATGCCCTCTTTTTATGTGTCTGAGGACAGCTAAAGTGCACTCACATACATTAAATAAAATAATCTTTAAAAAATATCAGTCTCTCCATCCCATACAAAACCTTACATGGTAGGGGCAAAGAAGGCAGGGAGGCAGGGAGGGAAGAAGCCATACTTGAAAACAAAAAGGGGATTGTCAGAGAGCTGAGAGGTCGAAGAGAAAAGACCAATAGCCAGCAGCACCATAGACAGTAGGACCTCATGGAACAAGCTTCATACCCACACAAGAAGCACAAACAGGTCCAGTGAGATGCTCAGCTGGTAAAGGGGCTTGCCACCAAGCCTGACAACCTAAGTTCAATCCCCAGGGTCCACATGGTGAAAGAAGAGAATGAACTCCTGCAAGTTATCCTCTGACCTCCACACACATGTTCTCAATGACATGTGCGCGCGCACACACACACACACACACACACACACACACACCCACGCCCAGTTATGCTACTCCCAGCCTTGACTATCTATTTGCATCTGTAGGAGTATGATGCATGGGTCACAGAGAGAAGGGAAATGGCCAGATCAGGAGAAGCACTTGGAGGGAGCCTGGAGCCTCACAGGCTGAAGGGCCCCAGCTAGTAGGACACTCTTCGCTTCCCACTGAAAACTAGCCCTTGGTATCAGTTACAGCCAGGCTCGTGGCACAGGCTGCACATACAACTCTCAAGAACACACAAACACTCATTCAAGACACAGGACACTGCAGGAAAAACTGCCCCAAGGAAGCCAGGGGCTTGGTAAACATTGGATTTACTCCCTCGCCCCTGAGGGTGTGGAGGGAACACCGGTCCTCTCTGCAGTGAACACTAGGGGGAGAGCTCTCCAAGGAAAATCAGAGGAAGAGGACAGGCAAGGGATTGGCAGAACACACTGCTATCCCTCAGCCCCGGGGATTTGAATATGTAAATATTTATTTTAAATATATAAATACCAAATGCTTTCACACGTAATATTCCATTTAATAATGTAGTCAATGCATATGTATAAATACAAGAACTGAAAATTATTTTCCATTATAAATATGCTCTCAGGTAATAAAATTTTCCATTATAAAAATTATCAGGTAATAAAAAGGAACCCATGAAGAAGGGTTTAAAAGCAACAGGAACAGAAGAACCGGCAATTGTGCTCAATAGCCAGGTAAATACCTTGAAATTGGTTGTTTGAACTTTGTGGGATGTCTGAGCCGGCATCAACTTAAGCACCAAATGACATCCAAATGGAGGACAGAAAGGACTAAAAACTCCACACTCTGCAGCTTAAGAGTAAAAATGAATTTCTACCTGAGCGTAGTCATGATTCAGTGGCAGATCACCAGAAGGGATGGCAGAACACAGGCCACCACAGTAAACAGTTACATGAAAGAAAAATAAATCACTTCAACGATGACCAGGAAGAAAGAGAAAGAAAATAAAGTCAATATAAAAAAAGACGCCACAAGACTAGCGGTGTCTAAAGACTGGTAGCTAAGCTGCTAGTATCGGGGTGGGGGGAGTAAAAATACTTAAAATTCAAAATTGGCAAGTGACCTGGTGTTTCTTTTTAAATTTTATTTATTTATTTATTTATTTATTTATTTATTTATTTATTTAATGTAGATGGGTGCTTCGCCTGCACGTATGTAAGTGCACTGTATGCCTGTCTGGTGCCAGCAGAGGCCAGAAGAGGGTGTCAGGTTCTCTGGAACTGGAGTTGAAAGATTTCAAGTCACCATGTGGGGTGCTGGGAATTGAACTTGGGTCCTCTGAAAGAGCAGCCAGTGCTTTTAACTGCTGAGCCATCTCTCCTCCTGAGCCTCCTGGGCTTTCATTCCTTAAAAGAAGGGCCACAGGTGTGTTCACCAGTGTGGAGCCTCCCTGGGTACCCAAACGGCAGGAAGTGACAGAGCCCGTGAGGATGCAGAGAGATAGTAATGCTTAAAGAGTTGGTGGGATAAAAACTATAGCCACTGAGACAAACAGGATAGAGCTGGGCATGGAGGCTCAATCCTCTACTCAGGAGGATCTCTGTGAGTTAGAGGCTAGCCTGATCTATATAGTGAGTTCTCAACCAGCTGGGGCTACATAGTAAGACACTATCTAAAAATAAACAAGCTGACTAAGCATGGAGCTGCCACACTCAGCCATACCATTCCTGGGTGTGTGCATCTAAAGGAAAGAAAATATGTTTGTTCCCATGTTCTCTGTAGAACTATTTGCAGCAGCTAAGATATGGAATCAACTGAGGTGACCATTAATGGATAAAAAAAAATGTGGTACGCACATGCGATGGGATATTACTCAGTTACTTACTCGGAATGTTTTTTCATTTGCAACAACAGGAACGAGTCTGCAACTATCAGGTTGAGTGAAATAAGGCAGACAGACAGCAAATACACTTTACAAACTGGCCCCACAGAAGTCTGGAGGCTGGAAAGGATGGGGAGCAGAGGAAGAGAGGCATGGAATGCAGCCATAGAAGAGGGGTGAGGTCTAGTGTTACAAAGTACAGAAAGGCGGGCACACTCAGTACTAACATGTTGGATGCTTCCAGATAGCTAGAAGGGAGGATTGAGCCTGCTCCTAATACAAAGAACTGATCAGTGTTTGAGATGACTACTGGCTCACTCTGGCTCACTCTGGCTCACTACTGGCCAGCTCTGGTCACTACACAGAGTTTGAGAGTGGAGGATGTGTCACATGACACCCACAAACATTTGCTGCTATTGCATGTCAGCTGAAAAGCTCAAATCAAAACCAATAATCTGGTACAGTATGCGCCTGCAGGAGGATTGGAAACTCAAGGCTGTCCTTGAATACAGGGCAACCTGGGTTACATAAGGCTGGAAATATTTTTTTAAACTAAAAATAAAAACCCTTATACTCAGCTAGTACTGGAATGAAAGGAGATGTCACCTGACATTTTAGACTGGGAGCCCCTGGGAGGAGCAGTCGGAGGTGCAGAGGGCTAAGAGGAGATTGTATCTTCTTCACCTACATTTACTGGGATCACACTGCAAACAGCATGAGGACTCTGAGCACTGCTTGCTTATCTGCCCAAACCCTCTCTGATGCAGTCCTTCCACCTCTGGGAATTGTACTTCCAGGAAGCACAGGGATGGTGGAGAAGCACATAGAGATGTGAACTAGAATCCAGACTCTCCCTGTGTCTCTGTGTCTCACTCTGTCTCTGTCTCTGTCTCTCAGTCTCTGTTTCTCTGTATCTGCCCTCTCTCTCCCTCCATCCCCCTTCCTTTCTCATCCCCCCCCCAACCATGTCCTAATTCATAATTTAACCTTTTGCTGGTTAGGTAGCATTAGCCTCTTTTTAAAATAAGGAATGTGACCTGGGATGGGTGTCAGTTCCTGGTTGACGGCTCCTCCTTGTCCCAGCCAGAGCACAGCAGCTTTCTTTCCTCTGATTCTTCCAGACTCTAGCTGGAGCCTGGCACAGATGGGCCTGGGATGGCCACTGACTCCCAGAACCTCCTTCTAGAGGTTGGCATCCAGAGAGAGGTGTGATCAGGGCAGCCACAGAGTTCAGGAGCATTTCAGGTCCGGTTCAGTTTGCTAGTCCCATGGACAGCAAAAAGAATGGCTGGCCCCTGGTCCAGTGCAGAGGAGGGTCACGGGAGAGGGACCAGACGCATGCAGTGTGTTTGCACAGGGCTTGGTGCCACATGGTGCTGGGGAATCTGCTTTATGGGGACTCCCACAAATCCACCAACTCTGGCCTTGGAGAGTTGAGGTGGACACAGATGTTGCCAAGGTTGGCTTGGGCCTGGTCAGCTGTCACTATGAGGAACACTGCACGGCAATTGTTAAATATCAATGTCAAAAATTAAATATACACAAATGAAAGAAGTTACGTCAAAGGCAAAAGTAATAAGGACTGTACACGGCTCAGTCCTGGAGAGTGTGCCCCATCTGTAGCATGGCCTCTGCCCTCCTCCATCCTCCGCTACTGCGTGTCCTATCTCAACACTCGGGAAGCCAAGCCCATATAAGGCTTGTTTTAGATTTATGTGTGGTTTTTTTGGCGGGGGGAGGGGTGGTGACATTGAGACAGTTTCACTCTATAGCCTGGGCTAGCCTCTAACTTGAGGTTCACTTTCAAGCTCTGGGCTCCCCTTTTTCAGTTCCTCCTCTGCTATGGTCAGCTCTGAATATAAAAAGAGTTTCTCCAGCTGGGCATTTACACCTCTGTAATCAAAGCACTAAAGAGAACTGAGGGGCAGAGCGAAGATTGCTGGGAGTTTGAGACCAACCTAGGCTGGATTTTGCATCTGATGCTAGTCAGGGAGACAGAGTGAGAGTGTCTTTAAAGATTGAAGGGAAACACAGGAGGAAGAGAAGAAGGAGGAAATGGAGGAGGAGGGGGGAGGGAGGGAGAAGAGAAAGAGAAGGAAGGAGAGGAGGAGGAAAGTTAGTAGTTAGTTAGCTAGTTAGTTAGCTAGCTAGTTTGTTAATTTTATATTTGGAGAGCTGAAGGGGATTCCAGAGGCTGAGCAGCTTCCCCAGACCCCAGAGCACCTCACCAACTCTCCTGGTGCCCCTCCTCCCAGGATCAGCCCTCTGGTCCCTCCTCTCCTCTGCCAATGAGTCACTGTCACAGGGCTACAATGTCAGGGCTCTGCCCCGGGCCCCTTGCCATACGCTGGATTGCATGCATTGATTGCAGTCCCTCACTTTGTTAACCAATAGCCAGGATGGCTGCCCTGGCTCTCTCTGGCCTCATGATCAGCCCAGCAGTGTGGCCCAGGGCAGGACACTCCTGCTTAGATGTCCCAGCTGCCCCCTTGAACTGCCAGCCTCTTCTATCAAAGAAACCACACAAGGAGAACAATCCTGTGACACCCCAGTTCTGCTGCGGTTGCTGGGATCCTGGAGCTCAGAGACCCTCTGCTCTCAGCTGGTCACTGGGGAGCAACCCCTAAGACTCAGGAGAGATTCCAGGGGCACACCCATGCGCATTCCGCTTCCACTCTGCTTCTCCCTGGCCCCTTCTCTTCTGTGTGTGCAGATATCATCTGTTCCTTGTTTCCATCTCTCTACTTGTTATACTTCCTGGCCGGGTGTGGCCAGCTCCTGGTTGCTGCCTTTCCTTGGGGAGCATGTGTGGCTGTTTTCATGTGTATCTGAAAAGCTCAGAGCAGCCATCATGAAAAAATAAAATAGACAACTAAAGAAGAAAGGGGTCTGTTTCTACTCCCTACCACTCTTTGTTTAAAAGTTTATTTTATCAGGGGCAGAGAGAGAGATGGCTCATAGGTAAGAGCTCTGGCTGCTTTTGGAGAGGATCTGGGTTTGGTTCCCAGCATGCACATGGACACTCACGACCATTTGTAACTCCAGTTCCAAGGGATCTGATATTCTCTCCATGGGCACAGAGCATAGATGTGGTGCACAGACATACATGTAGGTAAAACACCCATACAGATGAAAGGAAATGGGGGGAGGGGAGAAGATTATAAAATATTTTATGGTTTATTTGTGTGTGTGTGTGTACATATGTGTAGGTGCCCAAGGAGGCTGTAAGAGAATTTAGAACCCCTGGGGCTGGAGTTACAGATAGATATGAGACACTAGACATGGGTGCTAGGAACCAAACCTAGGTCCTGTACAAGAGAGGAATCTGCTCTTAACCCCTGAGCTGTCTCTCCAGGCCTTCCCCACCATCCACCCCACACAGCAATGCTGACCTTCCTTCATGCTCTCCCACCAAATGGGAGCAACAGCAAAGAGGATCTCTCACCTCATGCTGGGCTCCTTCCTCCCTAGCCCCTTCCACAGCCCCACAGTGTATTTCTGAAAAGCCAAGGAAAAGCCCAAAGTGGCCCTGGGTAGCAGAGCTGACAGTCAACATGTCTAAACATGTCCAAATGGAGAACGTATTCACATACTTGGATGTAGAGATTCTGAGGGAGTTTTGTGGTCCTTGGAAGAGAAATGACCCGAGTTCTATGCTTGGGAAAACAAAGACTTGAGCAATGTGCTCAGGCCTGAGCCTCCCTGTGAGAAGAGCCCAATCAGCCAGGCCACAGCCAGGGAGGGGACAGTGCTTGAGGGAGGCTCTTGAGGACAGGGCTGACATTGCAAGAAGATGGGGGTGAGGGAGATACACAACTGGCACAGGGTGAACTGAGTCCCCTGAGCACAGCCACACCAGTTGCCTTCCTCCCGGGGAATGCTTTCTGAGTGTCCCGTGAGCTTAGCCTCTGAAGTCCTCACTACAGGAATGGTGGCTCCATCAGACCACACCACAGATCCAGAGCGACTCTGGCTGTCTCCTCCATCCTGTGGAATCCATTCAGCTCTGTCTATGCCCATAGCCCAGGCAATCATCATTCTCTCTAAGACCATACAGCAGCCTTCTGCCTCATCTCTGACCCATCCTCCATGTGGACCAGAGGGAACTTTCTAGAAACCCACAGCTGAAACCCACAGCTGATAGCATCAGGTCCCTGTCACCTCAGCCTCTCCTGCTCTCTCCTGTCCACAGAGCCCACAGGAGAGAGAGGGACAGGTTCTCCTGGACTCTGAAGCATGCCATTCCCTTCCCACACCCTCCAGAGATTCTCATCCTGCTCCATCTACGTGTCTTCCTTTTCTGGATGACTCTCACCATGCCCTCTTTGTCTCCATGGCTCCCTTCTCTCCTGTCTTCTTTGGGATCCCTTATCATTCTGACCAGATCATGGGACTCCAGAAGGCAGTGGGCCTGTTTTCTGTTCTTGACTCCCATGTTCTCAGATCAGAGTGAGAGTCTCAGTGCCTACCACCTGGGCAGGACTCCCCTGATCCTCCATCCTTCCCATGCCAGTTCCTCTCTGATGCTCTCAAGTTTGTGGGCTCACTCTCTCCTGTCAGAATGGCTGTTCTCAGCAAGATGGCAGATGCTGATGAGGGCAGAAAAGAGGACGGTTGTACATGCTGGGGGTAAACCAGCCTGACCATCGTGGGCGAGGGCATGGAGAGTCCTCAAAAAACTAAAAACGCAACTTCCTCACGGCTCAACATCCCCACAAGTGAAGACACAGGCCGAGGAAATGAAAGCACCGCGTCAAAGAGACAGCTGCACCCCTGCTCAGTGTTCACAACAGCGGACACATGGCATCCACCAGCAGGCCCAACTGCGGGTGAGGAGACAAAGAGAACGTGCTACATCCACAGGATGGAATACTATTTAGCCTCAAATAAAGAAGGGAAAGCCTGGCAACATGGATGAACCCAGAGAGCATTACAGGGAGATGAGCCAGGGACAGAAAGACAAATAGTGCATGACATCACTCATGTAGGGTGACCAGAAAAGGCTGACACATGCAAGTGCAGGGTAGAGCAGAAACTAGTAGGGAAGGAGGAAGGTGGCGAGAGGCTGGCCACCATACAAAGTTACAGTTATGGGGAAAAGCGCAGCTGTTTTGTGTCCCAGAAGGGTGACTAGAATTAACAATTGGCTAAGTAGTTCAAAACTGGGGGGTTGGGACCAGAGAGAGAGAGAGGTGTCTTATCACAAAGAAATGATAAATTTTTGAGATCAGATCAATGTATCATACACATATCAAGACATCAAAGTGTACTCCATAAATTCAGACAATTATATATCGAGAAACCGCAGAGTCAGGATTCAGTTAGGATCCTCTAACTCTTTACCTGGGCTCTGCCCACTCACCGTGGCTCTGCCTGACTGACGCGGAGTAAATCTACCATAGTTCTGCCTTTTCATGCCTGCCTACCTGCACACTAGCCAGTCAGTGCCTTTCTCCCCGTCTCTGTTAATCTCTAACATCAGAAGAGCTGGGAGGAGTGACCTCAGGCTCTGAGGCTCACCTTGTACTGCCGGCAAGCATCTTGCTGAAGGACTACCACTGTGGGTGGCACGCAGTGGATGCTGCAGTCCTGGGGCTCGGGATCTTGGTTATGATGGCTTCCCGTGAGCTCATATTCTCCCCAGTATGATCTGTAGACCCAGACTCAGAGATGAGGCAAACATCCAGTCAAACATTTACTCGGGAGTGAAATCAGGCAGCAGCCCTCTTCCTGGTTTCACAACACTTCCAGCTGCTCTGATTCTTATTCCACAAGCACGGGCTCCATTCTTCTGTTGCCTCCTCCTTGGCCTCCATGATATTCCTTTCACGTCTCCCCTACCCTCCTAAAGCTGTGGTCTTAGGACCACCCCCCACCCCAGCTGTCTGCTGAGGCTTCGCCTGTCAGCTGTGCCTTTGGCTAGCTATAAAAAATTATTATAGTTAATAAACCAGGACTCCAAGCCATAAACCTGGACGGCTGGCTTAGAGGTTCTCCTTGGACACTGGCAGCCAGCCTCTTGCTTGGAGAAATGAGGAGAGATAGGTTTGAGATCGAACCCCAGACACAAGGCAGAGCCTGCTAGCTGCCCATCGAATGAGCTTCATATTCTCTGGGCAGAAAGTAACTGTCACTCGGTAGCTCTTCCCCATTAAGGCCAGACTCCTGCCACCCTGGGATCTAAGAGCAAACACCCAACAAGGATTCTTGTGGGACGGGTGCAGGAGTGCTGGGTGCCCCCTCTGTACAGTGTGCTTAAAAGGACTGAGGGAGCCTGTCACTTCTGCTTTCCCACAGGAGGGGGATCACAAGAGCTAGGGAACACGAGACCTTGAGTCATCATGCTAAGAACATTGGTCTCTACATGCTGTCCCCTCACAGCCTAGCCCTCAGGCGAGAAAATAAAGTCGACTTACTTGTAAGCTGTCAATGACACATGGGCTGGCTTGTCACAGAGCTTACCTGACCCTTTCTAATACTTCCCAGAGCATGAGTACTTTGTCAGCACCTGAAGTCCCAAGTCCCCTATTTTAAGAATAAGGATTCAGGTTAGTCTAATGACTTCCTTAAGGGCCCTGTCTCCAAAGTGGTCACATCTTAAATGCTAGGAGTTCATGCTTTGGCATCCGAGCTTAGAGCCTACCCAGACAGTCTAATCAGCTATAGTGGGAGGGAGGTTGGAACAGGTGTGGACATTGATATCCCAGACAATGGGATCACCCACTTCATCTTTCTACCACAGCCAGAAATAGCCCCACCGACCCCTGCAATGCCTTTTGGCTTGAGCCACATTCATCTGTCATACAGGTGAGTCTTCTGGATGTATGGAACCCTGATGAGTGCTGTGGTTTGAAATCTCGATAGTCAGCTCCCCCATTAAGAAGTCTTGTAAGCAGGTAAGCCGTCAGTCTCCTGCGCCCCCTCTGAAAATGAACTACACCTGAGTTATGGATATTTGACGCTAAAGTGAGCAAAGACAGTGAAGATGTTTAGTAGAGTACCTGACTGTCAATTCCAACCAGCTGAGCATCCAGTCATACCACAGATACTGTTGATCGAGTCCCGGCACTCCTGATGGATCACAGCAATTCAGATGCCTGACCTGATCTGAATCAGCACGATGTTTGAGATACAGATGAGGTTCCACCAACGCTTGGTGTCAAGATGGACTTAAAAGAAATGTAGAAAAGAACACAGGAGGGCCCAGCCCAACTCCGCTCTCTTCTGGATACCTGCAATCAGAGAGGCACAGGAAGTGGCTGCTGCTTCCCTGGAAAGACAGTTCTCTAGTACATGTGCCCAGCTCTTTGATAGGCACTGAGAGCCTGTCTCTTCTGGAGGCTGTCAATGACACACTGCAGGTCCTCCTGGCTCCTGGCCAGGCTGTGTGTGAATGTGTTCCACTTTCAGATGACCGTGACCATACTTCTTACACCCTTAAGAAAACGCCATTGTTGAATTGTCACTGGCCCAGAGCATGATGGGAAGACAGCTACCTAACCACTTAATGCAGAAAATCCAAGGCATTTGTTCCCAGGTGAGTAAAGAGGAGTTTCATGTATGAGGCCTCGGACAAGGCCCCATATCTGAGGGGCTGCCATGAGCCCCTGTGACCCCTTTCTGTCCATGCCCCCTCAGATTTTCTTGCCTTCCTTGAAGATTCTATGTTGAATCCTAACCTAGAAGTTGGCATGTGTCTAAGATATACTCCCACAGTTGATTTCTCTCCAGGATGCCAGCCTCTGGGAGCCTTCGTTAATATTATTTCTTCTATTCAACATACGCTGATTTCTTTTCCCAGCTTTGGGGTACATGAAGGGTCTCTCTGAGTCTGTCCAGGTCATTGATTTATAAAACAAAACAAGCAACAAGAAAGCAAAATCCCTGTATAGAGAAAAGCCCTATGGCCCTCGACTCGAGACCTCTGTGGAAGGGGGCTGCACATGGGCAGAGCCAAGACAGCAATGATGGAATGTACTAGAACCTAGTAGAGAAGTCACTGTCTTTGGTTCCTGTGTTTCTGTGGATGAAGCCACAGAAAGAAACTGGACAGTGTGTCACAATGGCTGCACTTGCTTCCTGAGGGTTAGGAGCTTGTCATGGGACAACTCCCACTCCTTCTATAGAAATACAGCTTAATTATTAAGTTCAGGAACAAAGAACTCTGCTGTCTGGGTCACCTAGTGTGGTCTTATCACTGTGTGGCACTAAGTGTTTTCTGCGGTTGGGAATGATCCTTGACTGAGAATTGCTTTTCTCTCTTTGCACAAATTAATAAATAAAACCAAACCTCACAGCTAGGCATTCCATGACTTTTGATCTGGAAGGAGATGAGCTTTCCAGACTGTTCTGAGAAGGCTTAGCTCTCAAGAAGCCATTGAGTTGGTAGGACCAGAAGTCACTCGAAGGATACTTTCATAATATCAAGAGTGAGAGTCACTTAAATCTAAAGGCATGCAGAGACTGAATAAGAGGCCTGAGCTGGAGGAATCAGAAACCAGGTCTTCCCTAAGAGCCTGTGTGGCGTCTAGGGATGGAGTCTTGATCAGTCTTTACAAAACTCGGTGAACTCTGTCACTGTTGTAGGGGTGAATGTGGGAGGTGATGGGGGAGCAAAGGGGGGAGCCAATTAATACCTTTCTCAGGTGAGTTTTCATACTCAGGACTGGGTTAATTCCTGCCAAATGTGTCCCTGGCTGGGGGCTGTAGCTCAGTTAGTATAGAGCTTACCCAGCATGCACTTGGCCCTAAGTTCCGCCCCCATCACTGCAGAAACAGGATGTGTTGGCTTAGCTCTGTAACCTTAACACCTGGAAGGTAGAAGTGGGAGGGTTAGGAGTTTAAGATCATCCTTGGCTACATAGTAAGATCTAGGACAGCCTGGGCTACATGAGACTCTATCTCAACAATTGGAAAGCAAAGAAAGCCTCTGGCGGTGTGTCTGTCATGCGAGTCCCCTTGCCGTTTTTTCCTTTGGCCATGAGTTGAAACACAGTGGGGCCCTCTCCAGAAGTACAGAAGATGCTGGCAACATGCTCCCACCTTCCCCAGCTGCAGAACTGTGGGACAAAGCTACCCCGTTGGTTATGAATTATAATTATTCTCAGGAAAACTAAGTAACCGGGCATAAGTCTCTTCCTGCCCTGGGCTGCACTTGAGTGAGGTATCAGCAGTTGGATCTGAGCGCTCTTCTGTCTACAGTTGCTTGTTCTGAAGGTGTCGCTGGTCCCCACACTCACCTCAATACTGACAGAAGAGTCACAGCTCTGGGCATCTCTCCTGATCAACTCTGGCTCCTCATCACAGGAAACTAGCATTGAGCCAATGAGAAACAGTCATTCTGGCTTTGTCCACACGGTGGCGCTTTTCCAGGATGCTAATTGCAGAAACTGTAGAAACCCAGCAAAGCATAGGAGGAGGAAAGGTAAATGCGCCTTCCAGTTTCACTCTGAAACACTGCCCAGAAACAACTGAGGCGAGGAAAAGGCTTTTTTTCAGCTCCTCTGTTACAACTCATCACCGAGGGAAGTGCGGACAGGTACTCAAGCAGCAACACTGCGTGCTGGCTTGCTCATTGGCTCACTTAGCTTTCTTATATAACCCAGGACCACTTGCCTAGGGTCTGTGTTGCCCACAGTGGGCTGAACTCTGCTACATCAGTTAATAATCAAGACAACCCCTGCTAGACATGCTCACAGACCAATCCTACCTAGGCATTTCCTCAACTGAGGCAAATGACCAGAGGCTGTGTCTAGGACAGAGAATAATTTGGCTTTTTTTTTTAAAATGGGTCTTCAGTTACCTAGATATTAAAATAATAGCATCTGCCACCACCATCACACAGACCTCTTCTCTAATGCTAGGTGTACACGGGAAACTGATGGATGGCTCCACTGGCATTGTATGGTATGGCCAAGCAGACAGGCCGTCAGAGGTAGAAGTTCACATGGGTGGTTGGCAACACTTTCTCTCTCAAGTAGTAGTGTGTGGTAAAGCATTCTCAGACGTGACTGGGTAGATCTATAGGATGAAGCACCTTTTCTGCTGAATGCTGTTGTGCAGACAATAACATTTGGGGGAATACCAGATGCATGCTGGAAAACAGAGTTAAATTTAAATGCCAACTTTTCAGAGGTGATTAGCCTGGCCAGATTCAAGGCTTTTCTGTAGATAGAACTAACTATTCTCCCAACTGGCAAACTGTAACCAGACCTGCCTGGAGGGATGACATATATAGTTTCTGCACAAGATACTGTTTATTACATATGTCACTGTGTAAAGGTCAGAGATCTTTCTCCAATAGTGGGACATAAAGAGTTTTGTTTTGGTATGGGACAGAGCGCTCCTTAAAGCCCTGCCCCCCCCTTGTGCAGTGTGGTGTCTTAGCACCAAGGCAGTACTCTGCGGTAACAAACCCTTGTGACCTGCCAGGCCTCTCTCCATTTCTCCTCCATCCACTCCCCTACACCAGGCCGTGCCTTGCTCCCTGTGGTCCTCAGGCCTCCTGACTCTGCTTTTAATACCCACTGTTGGGATTCCTGCTTATCCTCCACACACAACCTCCCCAGGAAACAGCTTCTAACACTTAGAGTCACGTGTGGAGTTAACTTCTCCCCAAACTTTCTGTTCTCTTCCTCCCCAATACTTTTCTATTGTAACGCTCAT